CAAACCCCTGCTCGGTCTCGTTATTTTGACGGACGCATGTATATGGTACGTCACCTGTGCCTTAGCCGGAGTGTACGCCTGCACAAGCGTCTTGTTGTTTTTTAATATACATTTGATTCCGAATAACAGTGATTAAAGTTAATCAGCTATCGACTCATTTGAGTCATGTCATAATATAAGCTTAGATTTCGCCATAGTAAATTAGTTGTTTCGATTAATTTGGCGAGGGTAAGTGCATGCATATATCTCTAGTTTTATTTATATAATTTATAGTAGAAATTATTTTTTCTATTTCTATGTGTAGAAATTTTTTTTTCTATTTCTATTTACTATATATTATTATATTCACTGAATACTCTTTAGAAACACGTAATCATATAAATTATCTAATTTATCCCCGAGCCGATAATGAGCACCGTAAAAATGTTATTTCGTGAATTTATTTGTAATTTTAAAAAAGTGTTTCATAAACTTTGACTTTAAGCCAAGCAAAACGAAAGGAAACAAGATAGAGGATGAAAGACAAACGCCCTACCCAGGAACCGTCGACAACTGTTTTGGTCAGATTAGCAGAACTGGTGCTCACTCTCAACAATTTTTCCTTTGATGGTGAGCATTACCAACAGATAAGTGGTGTAGCAATGGAAACTAAAATGGGTCCCAATATGGCCAACTTGATTGTTGGTTTCGTGGAAAAACAAATCTACGAAGAGTACATTGGCCCTCTATCTGATACAGCATCATGTTCTCGTGCTGAGTTGGAGAGATTCATCAAATTTGTTGATGAATTTCATCCAGCGCACTCCAATTCACATGAGAAATCAGTGAAACCAGTGTATCATTCTTAGATATCCTGGTTTCCATCAATGGAAATAAGCTCACTACCTCAGTGTTCTACAAGCCCACTGACTCCCATTGCTAGGTTATATTCATCCTTCCACCCCAGCCATACTAGCTAAGAGGTCTATCTCCTTCTCACAATTCCTTCGCCTTCGCCGGCTTTGCAGTGAAGATGATGACTTCCAGTCTTAATATCTGGAAATGAAAACATTCTTTGTCGGGCGCGGCTATCTCTCCCCACTTATTTACACTGCCTTATCTAAGGCCTCTGACATTTCTAACTTAGACAGCCTTAGAGACTCTGTCTCTAGTACTCCTAGCATTATTTCTACCCCCTTAGTTCTAACACGTCATACCTTCAATTTAGCTGTTAGGGATATCTTACTTAAGAATTTTCATATCCTGCAGAATGATCCCGAGACATCTTCCATTTTCACTCATACACCCTAAGTTTCTTTTCGGCACAACAAAAATATCCGGGATACATTGGTTCACAGCAGTCTACAGCAAAACTGTTCAGAGCCCAATGGCACATTCCCATATGGCATTGGCCAAAGTAAAACATGCTCATTTACCGATTCCAGTTCTTTTATTTCGGCTCCCAATTCACAGTTTTTCATCAGGCACCATTTCACATGCCTCTCCTCCAACGACAAGAAATGCAACTCATCCACAGTTTTGGCACTCTTCATCCCTCTGGCATAAATGAAAGACTCTCTTTCATTTAAGCTACTTCACCAATAGCAATATGACTACCATTCTTTGTTTACATCAAAGCTGGTTCAAATGCGTTTTCGTTGCTGATCAGGCTTCGCTCATTGCGTCTCTTTAGCAATGTAATGTATTCCAATTTGTTCTGATTTTTTGTTTTCTATTGGCCCATTTTTATCACGTATTTTGCCCCCATACAAAACATATATTCTCCCCTATTTATTTTTATACTAACTCTCGTGACGAAGGCCCTCAGGTCGAAATGTCGAGAAGTGTTTTGTCCATTTATGCAGTTGTTATACCACATTTGATGTTAAGTTGTTGGAAGACGCTGCCACGCTGCTCCCTGGTTATATTATAGCTAAGAAGAGCATGCATGGATACAGTTCAAGACAAAGCGGTGTAAGAAAAATAATTCATAATCTGCAAACTTATATAACTGTTTAAAAGTGTACGTGTCTACTTTTGATAAACGACCCCTTTTCTTTATGTGGTTTGGCTTCTATGTAATAGCAGGATCGTCGGGGCCGTATGGGGGACAGCTTATAAGTAATTGAATATGATAATCCCGGCCAAACGACAAGTTTGCTTTCTTCAACTTATATTCTGTTACTAGAAATACATGCATGCAGCAACCCCTCGCCTCGGTTAAGCGAAATTAGTAAAGCGTATACGCAGGTATGGTAACATGATTGTTAGAAAATTTATGTGAGAAATAGAAATTGAGAAAAGTATGGAAATATTTTTCTGCACGTGGAAACACTGTAGTCATAGCAACTCGCTTCAACGGCCGTATATTTTTAAAGAATCAAAGTTAATACCCTCATATTTTTGTGAAAAAATGGCAAAAATACGACAAGATTTTTACCTTTTCTGGAAGTTAAGTTACTCATCTATAGTCAGTGTCATGGTAAATTATTTTAATTATTAGATACCATGAAATAATTATAACATCAGACGTCTCATACAACTTCCGAAGTTTTATGTTACGCTTCGACTTGTTTTTGCACGGGAATTTGTTTTTTGATTTTCTTTTCCTTTTGTCATTATGAAAACGGAGTTTATAAATGAAATTATAATGTCGTTTATCACATAACACATTCAGATTTATAGTGAAATACATTTGAGAATATTAAAGTTGTGTTTACCATAATTACTCTTTAATGCTGTGTCGGATGAAATATTATCAAGTGTAAAATCTTCCGACTTGATTACACACGGTGAATTCGGTCGAAAATTTGGTCTTGTTATTTGTTAAACCGTGAAAAGTCCTGACCTCATTCGAGTTTCCTTCTAATTTAGTAAAAATACATATATTCCATATTTATGAAAATATAAATTTGTAAATTGTATCAAAATTTTGCTAAATGACAGTTATTCATTGACGTTTGAAAATACAAATTTTTGTCTCGACCAATCAAGAACTTAGTAGTTAACACTTGCGCATGCGCGTAACGTAGAAGACCGTCCATAGCGTGAGGTCCATTGCATAATGGCGGACAACTTTGATTTCGCATTTGCACATCGTGGGTGTAAATATCCGAGCGGAATTAGTACCCTCGCACGGTGCTCCGCACCGGCTCGGGGATAAAATACAGTATATATGTTATTTAGCAGATTGGAGGTCCGTATATCTCCCTTGCAACTTTTCAAAAACAGGCCGAGGCGAACGCGGAAGGAAGTTTTTGAAACCGAGGGAAATATTTCCCTATACGTACCGACTAATCTGGTAAATAATAATTTGTTTTTTTTTGCGGTCTCAATTCATATTTTAGCTTTGGCTCTGTGCTTTTGAATCACGCGTAGCCAATCAGATTGTAGGAAACGCTAAAATATGAATTCGAACCGCAAGAAAAAATTAATCTGTTATATTCTCCTATGTTCTCTTTCTGTAATCTCTTTCTGTAATTTCTTATATAACTGACAACTATGGTTTCTTTTTGTGCATTTTACATCGTGTTTGCCTCCAGGGGAAGGGCGGTGAAGGGCAGGGAAGGGCGGTGAAGGTAGGGAAGGGCAGGGCTTTACGTGCATAAATATTTCATCATTTCTTTCAACTCTTTCATGCTAAGATATTCCGCTATAGTTCTACACAGTTATAACGTGTCCAAACGAGGGGTGATCAGGACTGAATAGTTCAAAACGAAGATTAGGCACACCAACACATGAGGTTGGCGAACAAATAGGTGAAAAAAACAAGCAATTCCTGGTTGTGAGTTATGAGTTGCAAGTTATGGTTTTTTATTTGTTTTTCTGTTAAGTCGAGGTAAATAATATCATAATACCTATTAGACCAGATATTGGGAGATCTCTATCGCATTTTAATATTGCCGGTATTGCCGATTCCTTATTTTCTCGTAAAACACGTGCGCATGTACGGAACAGAAAATATTCAATGCTGGGTCAGGAGGTGGATTCTTACTTACTCTTGATAGCTCAAGCGAGTAGTTGCCAAAATCTACTTGGTAATGACCAAGAAAGTCATGCAGTTCCAAGAATTGCATCGTAAACTAGATTTTCTATAGTGTATGCATAATAGGCGCAGTTGTATTGGCCAATTTTAAAAGGGATTAACGCCACACCTTTATTGGCATACTTTCGCCGCTGACAGTTCTGATTGCATGTGGAAACGCTGTACAAGTGTTACTAGTTATTCTGTCGCAATTTGAGATTTTGTTATATAGAGTCTAGTTAATCGTGGTAAAAGAAGCCCGAGTGTCACATAAAAAGATGTCGGTATTCTACTTACTTTGCCTTTCACAAACGGACAATTATTTCGAAACTCAAATGTAATACAATTAGCAGCATGCACTCTTGTTGATGGAACAGGATATGAATTTAACACAACAATTCTATATGTCCCTTATTTGTTTCTTCATTTACTTCGCATGACAAATGACTAAATCAGTACACACTGGTACACATTGAGGGTATGCACTATGCAATAGCAAACTCCTATCGAAATCGATTGCCTTTACAGTCGACTGTTAACATGAATATATGAATATATATGGCCCCCCATCATCGATGCCGGCTACATCACTCATCGTACTTGATTCATTAATCAGAAAACAACAAAGGTTATTTGCTTTAGATTTGTGGTTTTTTAATACGTTAAGCTCAATTAGATTAACTAAGATTACCAACAACTTGCTTCCATGAAGCCGGTTGCATTCACTTCCGGCAAAAACGTTCTTGTCCGTTGAGTGTTTTGTTTTAAATTTAAGACTTCATGAAGAGGTTTCCACCGGACACAAATATATATTTTGTCAAGTTATCCATACTTCAAGAAGATTAAAGCTATCTGGTTCTGTTTTGGCACGAAATGTTATTGAATTATTCGTTTGTTATACTTCAATATTTTAAATTTCAATATTCGGACCACAAAAAGTGGAAGCTTGCACTTATAAATTCCCCTGTTTCATTTGCATCTCAGTCTACAACTGAAAACGTCCACTAGCGAAGCAGTTTTTGAATAAACGTAAATTATGAAGCCTTTCTTAATAGCTTCAGCTTTCGTGAACCTTTTCCAGGTTGTGTACATGCGTATTGAACTTGAAGACTTCTTTCCTTATGGGCCAAGCAATGGAGATTCTTCGGTACCACCTAATGACGATGGTAGTTCAGATCGCATAAATATTGCATTCCCATTTCCTTTTTTTGATGAAGAACATAATTCTCTGTTTGTAAGTACTTCACATTTTATCGTTAACTTGTATGTTTTTCTTATTTATTTCCTTCAAATTCGTTTCGTTTGGGTAGATAATAAGTACAGTACAATCGTACTTTTGTTTATCAGAGCACAATCGAGTTTTTGGTCGCTTCTATTATGGCATTCAAAGACTTTTCTGCATAATTTCATCACCTAAAGAGAAAAATTTCCATAGCTTAAAATCTGCAACTTGCCAGATTTAGATGCTCAAAGTGAAACTAGATTGCACCTCTTTGTCACTGGCCGATCGAATTACATAACAAATGAAGAGACCGATTCCAACGCGATTTTCTCGGCGTACATTTTGTGTTTTCCGGTAAAAAATACATCATTCAAAAGCTCATAACGTTGGCTACCAAGTAGAGAAAATTATTTCCAATTTAAAGGCAATTTTGCGACGAAAAATTCTATGAATTTGCATAAATTATATTAAAGCCTTGAGGTTATTTTCAAATGTTGCCTAGTTACGGCAAAACAATGTGAATTATCAAAATATTGTTTAGATGAAAAGTTACTATGTTTTATTGGGATTATTTCTGCAAAGTTTCAGGGTAATTGATAAAAATCATGCATATATATTTTTTATAATTTTTGAATTTTATGCTTCAGAAATGCTGAAATCTGGTTATAGGTGACACATTTGCATAGGTTCAATTTTGAAACTATGTCACAGTCATATATTTACGTATATTACATGGTGCTAGTAATAATCATTCAGAATTGAACTTTTTCACTTATTTCTGCAATTCACAGCCTGTTCATACTTTGCAAAATAGAGGTCCGAGACTAACCAACGCCCATGGCGAATACTAAAGCAGAAACCAATATGTCACTGCCCACATTCTTATATATAACTGGTATTTTGTGCTCTCGAAGTTGAAAGAAAGGTTTTTAATCTCCTTCAGAAGCTTGTAATCTTATACAAACAAGCACTCATACCCACCACGAGATGGTCGATGAAGCAAAACATTCATAGTTCAAATAATAGACAGACTTTGTGCACAGAGTAAAAAAACCTTTATTCGAAATAAAATGCGTGCATTTATCTGAAACAGAGTTCATCACAATGACAAAACATATGTTTCAAAACCATTGAATAGCCATTTGAGCTATCTGCTATTCATACACTGCCTATAATCCCTAACCTAGCTTTGGACTCCACCATTCGCTCATCTACTGCAAAATTCTGGTAAGGTTGGTACAATAGATGGTATCTTTCCTTAAATGATGGAAGGAACTCATCAACCTTACCCAGTTTTTCACCAGGGGCCTCATTAGCAGAGTCTACTACATGCAGGAGTGCCATAACGGCTTCACGGTTACGTGTAAGTATTTTCCTAGCCCAAAGACCATGATAAAGAGACTTTGTGCTCCAATACTTTTCGACTGCAGAATGAATATGAATTATACTAAAATATATTAAAATTGCAATCAAATTAATTATTTCGTTCTCATTCGTATCTTCCCTCAGTGGTAAGATATGTATGAAGGCCCCCACCTAAAATCTTCATGTAGGCATAGCTGCTGGTGTGGGCTACAAAAATTCCAAGGCAGTTGTCATTCCTCCTCTCAGGTCAGGGCCTACAAAATGAATTTCTGAGGGCCGCCTTGAAAGCAAAGATGGTATTTAACATCTGCATGATTGTATGATTGATAATATGGTGCAAATTCAACTGCCACCCCTGCCCACCCCCCCCTCTCCTCAACATTACCTTCTTCATCAACTTGATCTTCTTCACTTTGTTCACTACGCAATCACAGTAAGAGGGTGAACATACATTCGCGTAGTATTATTTTTACTGTAATTAAGACAAAAATGCAAAATTAAATGCCCGGGCCATGTGGATATTCCAAATGCAATGCGTCATGCATCATGATACATTTTGACATCGGTACGAACATTTGATTTGTGTGACAATATATCACCAAATTAATATTAAATTCTCGCAAAATTTACCATATTTTAAGAGTTATGTTATAGTTTTAATTATTTGATATAGTTTTAATTACATTTCATTTTACACAGAATTCTCCTGAGCAATAAAGGTATACATTTGCGGTTGTGTCGTATGTAAATTTTCTCCTTCAACCATGGCGCGACAACATCTGTGCAATACTTATACTTGCCTTTGATCACTTTCTGACTCAGTTAAAAGGTAATTTAGGTTATTCTCTTCTTCACTAGACAGGCCGTTCTCGTTAGCATTCGGTTCTTCCTGAAATAAACGCTAAAAAAC